ATTAAATTACAAAACTAGTTAATTGTTACATTTTTCATTAGATTACAAAACTACTTAATTGTTACATTTGCATTAAATTAGAGCTAGTTAATTGTTACATTTTTCATTTAATTAGAGCTATTTAATTGTTACATTTTTCATTAAATTACAAAATTACTTAATTGTTACATTTTTCATCAAATTACAAAACTACTTAATTGTTACATTTGTCATGAAATTAGAGCTAGTTAATTGTTACATTTGTCATTTAATTAGAGCTAGTTAATTGTTACTCCCTCCATCCCAAAATTATTGCCCCGTTTGGTTTTTCACACAGATTAAGAAAATGACACTGTAGCGACACCGTTTGGCAGTGTAGCGACACTGTTTGGCACTGCAGCGACACTGTAGCAACACTATTTGACACTGTTTTGCATTGTTTGGTATAGCTTTGTTTATCAAATAAGGAAGGTAAAGAAACGAGACAACTATTTCGGGACGGAACGAAAGGGAAAGCGGGACAATAATTTTGGGACGGAGGGAGTACATTTTTCATTAAATTACAAAACAAGTTAATTGTTACATTTTACATTAAATTACAAAACTATTTAATTGTTACATTTGTCATTACATTAGAGCTAGTTAATCGTTACATTTTTCATTTAATTAGAGCTAGTTAATTGTTACATTTTCATTAAATTACAAAACTACTTAATTGTTACATTTGTCATTAAATTAGAGCTAGTTAATTGTTACATTTTCATTAAAGTATAAAAAAAATAGTTCGAAATTTTATTTCAAGAATTGAAAGAAAAGTAGTTCGAATTTATTTTAGTAAAATACTTCACATGTTATTAAAATAGTTTGATTAAAATTTTATTTCATTAAACTACACTTGTATTAATTAAAATAGTTTTAATTAGTTGCAGTACTTTTGTACTCATATTAATGATGACGGAGATTCTGATTGATTAGTACTCCGTATTATACTATTTATTACAAAATGTATTTCATGTTTTATTTTTTTCCCTCAATTCTCAATTGTAGATTTGTAGTTCACATTTCAAATAAATATACTTTCATTTTTTTTATATGTAGCTCTTCTTAAATTTATTTATAAAAAAACATAAACCGACCCGGCCCGCTACCCGGGCCGGTGGCCCGGCCCGGACTCGCACCGCACAGGGCCGGTCCTGAGGGGGGTGCAACAGGGGCGACCGGCCTAGGCCCAAAAATATAGATAGACAAAAATAGGCCAATTTTTTTTCTCCATATATATAGAGTGTGAGTAGAGTTTCGTTTTTTTTTTAAGTTCAATTAATTTGGCCTAATGCCCTGCCCTAAGTTTAATGAAGACAATTTGAAAAAATAGAACACAAGTAAAATGTCTTAAACAAAGCCAATTTTAAAAAATGAGTATACATTCATGTTAAGTAGGACCAGTTGTAGTTTTTTTTAGAAACACAATGAATCAGTAAAAGACAAATCTCTTCAGTCTTCACATCTCTTTAGGTTTTAATGTTTTTTTTATACCTTTTAAGCGAGTATTGATGATTTTTGTACACATTGTTCTGCGGGGAACTATTTAAGTAATATTTTTTCTTTTTGTGTAATACCCGTGTTGTTACGTTTGCCCACATATGTAATTTAAATAACATTAAAGTGATTTTGACCTTTATTTTATGACCTTTATTAGAAATTTTAATTTTTTATAATTCATATTTTACAATTTATCTTGTGCATAAGCCCAACATATATAATATATCTCGCCCATAGGCCCATAAATTGGCAGGATCGGGCCGGTTGGGCACGGCCCGGGTCGGGGCGGGTAATACAAAATAAAATGGAACCACCGGTTCCATTATACGGGTCGGTCCGGTCCGGGTATTCTAATTTTGAAAATAGGAACCAGACCTTACCCGGACCATTTGAAACGGGTCGATCCGGTCCGGGTTTTTTTCGGTTCCAGTTTGTATTTCTTAAAAGTAGTAACAACTTACAAAGTTGTTAAGGTCTTAGTCATTCTAAATCTGCTAAATGCTACCCATTCTGTAATCTGTAATTCTTAGTATATGTATTCTTAAGTATTTAAAAGTTAAAACTGGCCAAATGGTTGTGTTGATTTACTCTCACCTAATTAATATATTTTCTTACCAATAACAAAGTCATATTTTACAGTTAATAAAACAGAACCTAGTGTAGCAAGAATAGCAGTAAGTTAATGTTAGTTTGTGATTTCGTATAGCAGAAAAAATACAAATACAAATAATGCATTCCATGGAAATATCAAACGCTTAAAAAATAGAAATTACATATATAACGGGCAACTCAGTAAATGGCTAAGTTACATTACCGTAATGAGCTAAGTTGCCACTTCCCAAACGCTTAAAAAATAGAAATTACATACTATGTATATAACGGGCCGGGTCGGGTACCCATGACTTTTATGTTTTGGAACCGGCCCGGATCGTAAAAAATTAATACTCGCCCCTACCCGGACCGTTTTGTAGTATAAAAAAATGGAACCGGCCCATTTTGGACCCGAATCGCTATTACCCGGACCGGACTGCGGTTCCATACCCGTTTGCCCACCCCTAGGACCGGCCTTGCACCCTTAATATAATATAATATAATCAAATTAAATACTCCCTCCGTTCTTTTTTATTAGTCCTTCTTTCCTTTTTGGGACGTTTTTTTTATTTGTCCTCCTTTCCCTTTAAGGAAAGTTTTTGAGAAAATACCCTCACTTTTATTACTTTTACCCCACTTACTTTTTACAAACTACTTTCTCTTTCCTACTTTACAATCACTTTACTCTTCTTAATACACTCTCTTTCATACTTTATCATCACTTTACTCTTTTTAATATATCATCTTTCCTACTTTATCATTTACCCTACACACTCTATACTTACCCTACTACAGGTACGGATCCAGAAATGAGAGGTGGGGTGGGCTAAGCAGTAAAAAAAATGTTATATACATACAATGTTTAACCTAGGCACGTTACCGTATTGAGCTTTTTTCGAACTATATACTCAAGTTCAAGCTTGATTTTGAATCTAATTTAATGATTCGAGCTTAATTAATGAGCTTTGAACTCGAACACGGACTAGGTTTTGAGTTTGAATAATTATTCAAATTGAGTTCGATCAAAGTGATGTTCACTTATAAATTATAGAAATAAATTATACTACTTCAGTTCTTTTTTAGTTACAACAATGATGAATTTGACACTTTTCACATACTTCACTTTGACTACATTTTATTTCTTAATGTATTATAAATTAATTTTTTGAATAATATATGTTAAATACTTCTCGTTTTAAACTTTCAAAATCTGTTATTTTTAAATTTTCATTAATAAGAAATGAAAGATATTAATGGTTAAACTTGTGCATTAGCAAAGGTCAAACGTAGACCGTTGCAGTTTAAAGAGAATGGATGAAGTATATATCTTAAAATTTAAACGTTCTTAGCGCAATTTTATAAATTTATTAATGATTATTAAATATTTGAGTATTTATTGAATTATTCGAACATGAATCTATTAATGAGTATAGTCTAAACTTCTACATTCAATATTATACTAATTAAAAATACTTCTATACAATTATAAAACTAATAGGGAAAAATGATTGTTGTACATAAAACTAATAAGTATTCCTGATTCAAAATTTAATTGAAAATTTTAATTCTTTCTTACATGTCCACACAATGAATGAATCATTCTCCAATATTCAATTCTAATCTTTAATTCTATATTCATTATAAATTTATAATGAATTAACTGTGTTTTATTATGTACTGAAAATTTCAATTAACAATCAAATAGATTTTCAAAACTTGAAAAAGTAATACACAATAACACAGTCACAAAATAATACAATATTTAACAAATACAAGTATAAAACACATACACAACCGCTCCAGGCCCTCTATATTTGTTTTTTTTTGAAAATCAAATAACCATTTGATAATCAGATCTTAACAAGAAACATAACAATTAAAAGTCGAAGCATTACAATCATAGCGTTCAATACTACACTAGGGTGAGACAAAGAACAAAGGCGCATATAAAAGCACTCATGTTCGCTAACCCTGCAACAATGTAGACTCGTACCGTAGTGTGACTGCTCATGCTACTCGAAATGGGTTCGGCTTGACCAGCCACCGAAAAGGAATTATTGAACTTGCCGGTTTTTCCAGCCACCGGTAAGGAGCCAAGTGCATAGATTGAATTGTTCTCGTTTGACAATTCACTTGAAAGAAAGCAATCCATCCAATATCATCTTCCTGGATCGGCGGTGGTTCAGGAGGGGGGTGGTTAGCCTATATATCGATGCAACAGAAATCCTGATCGATTGATAAAGAAGCCAATACAAACCTCTTACTAGCACACAAGAACACCCGACCGATGATGGCGGGGAATATAGATCTGGCCAGCGACATTGCGCCACCGAAAATAAAATCTCTAGACAACGCTAGGAAATAAACGTATAGATAGAACTGAAAACACTGATTAAACGAAATTTTTTTCATGATTGAAGTCGAAAGAAGAGAAGAAAAGAAGAAAAGAAGAGAAGAAGAGGAGGAGGAGGCTAGGGTTTTCCGCCGCTCCTCTCGGCACTGCTATTTCTTGTAGTGTATTTGTAATAATCAAATAATCAATTGGATTGACAATATTTCACAAAATAATAAAATGTTTAAAAAATAATACAATGTAATGTTTAATCAAGAAAAAAAGATCTAAAAAAGTACTCCGTATTAGAGTATACCCACTTCCGCTGCTTCCAAACTTCCTCGAGTTCGCACATGGAGGCCGCCGATTTGCTTGAGTGGAATTGTCTCGTATAAGGCTTGGGATGGGCTGGGGATTAATTTGGGGTTGGGCTGGACATTTGGTCTATACCAATACTAATTAAAAAAGAAATATTTGGGTTGGGCTGGAGCCCAGCCTTGCCCACACTATGATCCGCCCCTGCCCTACTATTTTATTATTAAAACTCGTGTCAAACTTTAATGAGACTAATAAAAAAGAACGTATAAAATATTAGGTCCGTTTTTTCACGCGAGAGCAAAAATCATTTCGACGGTAACCGTTTCTCACTAGTTCTTCTCAGCAGGGGTCGTTTTGATCTGCTCTCCATCACCTATGTTTATTGCGCAAATCGTCATCTGGTAATATACCTTCAATTTCCCTTCAAATTGGTTGGAAAATCAGTGCCCATTCAATTATTTGAATTCTTTCTTTTTGTTGGATCAATAATGGAGGTCCTTTTGCTTTTTATTTCCCTTGTTCATTACTTCACTATATCGAAGATGTTTATATTTTCTTTTTCTTTATTGCATGTGGTTCGTAGATGAGTTTTCCTTTTCGCTGTTTTGTTTGTTTTTTGTTTTGAAATAATAAAACTTACTTTTATCACTTTAAGTTGTCATGTTACAATAATACTTTTAATTGGCTATTGACGTATGAACTCATTTTTGAGCCAAATCATATATTTTCTTTGCATGTATTTTAAAAATGGACCGCATACTCACCAAACAATGTATATATATATTTTACATGCAAAATGATTACATCCCTACAGTTTACAAACGGGATAAGAGTCAGTTTGGTCCTCGAAGTTGTAAAAAAGGGGTCAAATAAGTCTTTATATAGAAAATTCTGTCCGGACGTGCCATTTGAGGTGGCTCCCGGTGGAATTTTTTGATGAAATTTTTTGAGCATCTTATTCATTAAATCTAGTTTACTCATACCAAATTTCAGATAAAAATTCAATCGAGAAGACATTCAAATGAATTCTTGAAGATAACTGTGTCGTTAAAAGCGAAGTTATCTTCAAGAATTCATTTGAATGTCTCCCCGATTGAATTTTTAGCTGAAATTTGGTATGAGTAAACTAGACTTAATGAATAAGATGCTCAAAAAATTTCATCAAAAAATTCTACCGGGAGCCACCTCAAATGGCACGTCCGGATAGAATCTTCTACTCCCTCCGTCCCATAATTATCTTCATTCTTTCCTTTTTGGTCTGTCCCAAATTTATCTCCTCTTTCCTTTTTTAGCAAAGGATTTGTGGTTCACAACCATTTTTACACATTTCTCTCTCCTCTGCACAACTCTCCACCACACATTTCCCACTTTCTTAATCTCCGTACCCAGTCAAAACCGAAGTTAATTCTGGGACGGAGGGAGTATATAAGAACTTATTTGACCCCTTTTTTTGCAACTTTGAGAACCAAACTGACCCTTTACTCGTTTACAAAAGTGCAAACGATTTACATGTAAAGTTTTAAGGTGCAAAGACCTCCATGCCCCCTTTAAATAATACTCCGTACTCCGAATACGGAGACTCTCGTATGTTCCTATCGACTGCCGCTAGTTTGATACTTTCAGATTCAAAAGGGGATTGAATCCCCACCCTGCCGGGTGCTCCTATTGTAAAGAGTAATCTTCCCTCTGCAAGCCCCGCGGCCAAGAGTAATTCTGTCATATTTACTGCCTATTCAGTAATCATATAATAATAATCTCTCTAATGGCCGAGCAAGAAGAAGACCGCACAGCTTCTGCAGTCGCAAAGCGCAATAAGCAATCTCCTCCGGTTAGTGATACCACTTCAGTTTTTTCCCGATTACTCTTACAGCTGACCTTATACAGTCATATTGATCATACTCATTATATAAACACAAAAATCAGTTTGTGGAGGTGATCTGCCACCGCACAGACAGGAGATGGAGATTCGCTGCCGGGACGGAGGCTAAATTTTCCGTCAAAATGATAAATAGCAAGCTGGAATCCAGATTTTCTCTGCCGCCAGGAACGCACATAGAAGCGGTAAAAGATGGGGAAGAGCCCGTAATATTCGGCCCCAATTCGGTTCTCGTCAATTACGGCGATGGCTGGACTCTACGGACGGCTTCTGACGCCATTGGTATGTGTTTAGTACTCCGTATATTCTACCGTGTATTCTTTTATATACACTCAGTATTACTTAATAGGGAAAAGGGGCAAAAACACCCCTAAAGTTGTTGAGCAAAAATCTTTAACAAACCACAAAAGAGATGCTCTCAAACTTATTTTTTGAGCAAAAATCTTTAACAAACCACAAAAGAGAGCAAAAAGGCCCTTTAACTAACGGTCTAACAAACATGCCATCGTTAGATGCTCACTTGGCTATTGTACAAGACTACAAGCCGTATAGACAACAAAAGGAAAGGGGGAATAGTCGAAACTAATTTGTATTTATTGGTCTAATAAACACTAAAATAATACATTGATTTGAGCTTTAGGATACTTATTCCATAAAAATCTCAATTTCATAATGTTTAATTTATATTAATTAACTAGATTATCAGTATTCGATATTGTAAATTATCAATCACTATTAAATACTGTCTCCGTTCCAACATTTTTAAGAGCCCATTTGGTGATAACATTTTTCGACTTATCAGGCTTATCAGTCAACTTTTTCACCAAAAAATGTAACTTTTTATTTCACGCGCTGAATTGTGTAATAATAAGAAAAAGTAAGGTTGTATTGACTGAAATTAGTATAGGTGATCATTTAAGCCATTTTTCATTTAGCCTTTTTTCTTTTATCTTATTAATAAAATACTCCCTCCGTCCCGCTGGGATGTTCCCGGTTTGACCTACACACATATTAAGGAAATAAACTTACCAGGGGGTAAATTTTACTGTTTGGACACTGTTTGGACACTGTTTGACACTGTTTGACACTGTTTTGCACTGTTTGACACTGTTTTGATGTAGAGTAACTTTCCATTTAGGGAAATGAGAACTTTCCATTGGGACATCCAAATAAGGAAAGTGGGAACATTCCAACGGGACGGAGGTAGTATATTTTAATTTTTTTATAAATCAGCATAATCAGTCAATCCAGTCATTTCAGCCAAAACTTCATAAATTTCAACGGAAACAACCAATACTGGTGATTTGGGTAGTACCAAACGGGTTCTAAAACTTTGACCAATTATATAATTTTATTGGAAATTAATTATAAAATAAATTATGAATTATATACTTGTATTTTATTAAAAATACTTCCATAAAAGTACAAAATATATAACTTTCATAACACCTCGTATTATATATATTAAAATCATGGTCCCAATTTTATGAATGCCAAAGTTTTTTGAGACGGATGTAGTCCAGACACATTAATTAAACAATTCTCAGACAATGTAAAGTGATTTTAAAAGAGTGAATTACTCAAATATCAGTAAAATATGTGCTAAATGCAAAAATACAACCCCAGTGTTTTAAATTGTCTAAATAATCCGCTGCCAGTCGTCATCACCTCCACCGGAGAAAGTTGTTGTATAGTTCTATTTACAGAAGATTTAGATTTTACTCCTATTTACGCAATTATGTTTAGGTTTACTCATGTTTAGGATAATTTCCCAATTAAAAGTACAAATACTTGTGTGACTTTAAAATTAAAAAATTCATTTAATTCCGTCTTTTTTAAAAACAATTTATTAAACAAGTAAAACGTTTAATTATTCTAGCCAGCATTAGAATAAATATAAATTACCTAAAAAAACTAGCAAATAATGTTAATCTAAAATAAATATTTTTATTGGGTGAGCATGCACATGTGGTCATTTGAGGACCAAAATATTCCAATTTTTTTATCCAATGTAGCACAAGCTAGGTACAACTTAAAAGAAATACGTAGATATCAAACATATATACGAACATTCGAACATATATATGGAGTATTTGTTTGATATACGGAACGTATAAGCCAACTGAGCTAATCTAACAGACGAATGTTCTGTTTAACTTGTTTCCGTTTGTTAAGGGGCCTTTTTGCTCTCTTTTGTGGTTTGTTAGGGATTTTTGCTCAAAAAATAAGTTTGAGGGCATAGCTCTACCTTGTTGGCAACTTCAGGGGTGTTTTTGCCCCTTTTCCCTACTTAATACTTTGACACTATTTTGTACTGTATTGAAATATATTTGTTTACCAAATAACAAAGATTGACTTTGTTTTGAAACATCAAAAAAAGTGTGACTTTTGATTGTGAAAGGGAGGGAGTATACTCCGTATTTAATTAACTCATCTGTTGCACAAATTGTTAAAGTAAGAATAAAGTAAGGAAAAACTGTCAAATAGGTCCTCGAACTTTCATAAAAAGGTCAATTAAGTCCTTCTATAGGAGGTTCTGTCCGGCCGTCGCGATTTGGGGTAGTTCCCGGTGGAATTTTTTGATGAAATTTTTTGAGCATCTTATTCACCAAGTCTAGTTTACTCATACCAAATTTCAGCTAAAAATTCAATCGGGAACACATTCAAATTAATTCTAGAACGCAAAAATGCGTTCAAGAATTCTTGTTCAAATGATTTTTTGAAGATAACTGCGAAGTTAAACAGCGCATTACATTTCGGAAAATCATTTGACTGCCTTCTTGGTTGAATTTTTAGCTGAAATTTGGTATGAGTAAACTAGACTTAATAAAGAAGATGCTCAAAAAATTTCATCAAAAAATTCCACCGGGAACTGCCCCAATTAGTGACGGCCGGGCAGAACCTCCAATATAAGGGGGACTAATTGAACACTTTTAGCCAGTTCAAGGGCTTATTTGACCCTTTAGCCAAAATAATATTATGTTTAAATAATTAACCATCAAATTAGCATATCTTGAGCTCAAAAGTCAAAATGAGAAGTTAATTATCGAACTGAGGTAGTATATGGTCTAAGTAAGAGTATGAACGTTCAAAGTAAAAAAGTTGCAACTAAATAAAGCAAGTACATGTGTAAAGTTATTATAAACTGTACATAATTTACCCTCTCTTTTCTATATTACCTATTGAGGTCATTATTTTTGAGTCAAAACGCAGTCCTATTAGAATATTGAATTTTTTGTGTACTATATTTTTTCATATTCGAATATGTTAAGACCCGGGGTTCTGGGACTCTAACAGAATAACGTGAATACGTGATGGCGGTTAAGCAAAACTTTTACTCTTTTAGTGTACTCCCTCCGTATTTAAAAGATCCATACATTAGGTTTTGACACAAGATTTAAGGAAGAATTGTAGGAGTAATGAATAGTATAGAAAAAGTAGTAGAAAAGATGAAAAAGTAAGAAAGAAAGGATGAAAAGTAGAAAAAGTAAGGGTAATTGAGTATTTTTAAAAGAAAAACTTACCAGAAAGTGAAAGTGTATGGAACTTTTAAATACATCCTAAAATGGAAAGTGTATGAAACTTTAAAATACGGAGGGAGTATTTCTTAAGATGTAAATTTTAATTACTAACAGTAACTTATGTTGTGAAATGAGAGAATTAAGTTTGTTCAGTCAAGAATTATAAACCGTTTTCACTTCTCAACAAGTAAAAAGGGATATAGCTAGGCGTATAATGATGGGAATTTACTACTTTCATAAAGATTCTTAATTTTAAATATCTTATAAACAGTGTCTAAATTTGAATCTTTATTGGTTGCATTGAGAACAATAAGTTCATGCTGCCAGTAATGTTCACTTTTTTTTTTGTCAGAATCTGAACAAGGAAAACTACTGCGGAACAAATTTACTTGTGTGTTTTAAAGAAGTTAAACAGAAAAAATAACTTCACCAGACAATACTATAGTTTCACAATTTTTCGTTATAGACTTGTTATTGTGGGGAGCATCACATATGAATATAATGTTTAACTTCCCGACTTCTAACTAGGTTTTGGAAGCTCTACGAAGGAGAACATGGTAGTGATGGGACAAGCATATAATCCTGTGACAACGGTATGAAATTTCTTTGTTCTTTTGAACTATCCTCTATCACTGTCTTTCTTGTTGATAGTGTTATGTTATTGTTATCAGTACTGATCTTAGTTTTGTAAAGTTTTCTGCAATGCAATTGCCAACTTTAGTGAAGAAAAATGAGATCACAGGGAAATATTAGAATGCATGAAAGAGAAGTAAAAAGAATAAGCTCTTAACTCACTATAGGAACTGATCAGATATAAATTGTAGTACCTGAAAGTAACTTTGATGTTCACTGGTTTGAGATGGTTTTCCAGCGGTACAAGAACTCGAGTTCTTACTTACGGAGTATTTATGATACTTCACTGTTGTTTCATGATTTATCAATATGCCTTTGGGAGTGTTTGCAACAGCTTCTGCTTAAAAAAAGCACTTTTGGAGATGAAATGAAAAAGTGATTAGTTGTAAAAGTTGATAGTGTTTGAGAAAAAAGTGATTTTGAAAAGTAAAAGTTGGTTGTGTTTGGTAAAATAAGTGCTTTTGGTGTATAAAAAGGGGAAAAGCACTTTTGACACGAAAGCCGAGAAAAGTAAAAAATTGGTAGTGTTTGGTAAATAAGTGCTTTTTTAAGCCAAAAGCTGAGAAGTGCTTTTTTTAAAGTTGTTGCAAACCAACCTTTTGACTGCTAAATGAAGTCGTTTCCAAGTCAGTTTTGAATATCGATAAATAACCCCCAGAGAACAAAGATGACAAATATGCTTCTACTACCAAGGAATTGCTATGATGACAATAACATTGAATCTTAGTCCGTGAGACCGTGAATAGACCAGGGGCCAGGGCAGTCTAATAGAGTCTGGATAAGTGGACCAGGGGCTGAACATTGTGAAGTTTAGTTTAAAAAAATTCAATGTGGCGTTTTATTTTCAAAATACAAAATGACCATTATGTAAGAGTATTTAAAGCACATTTCTAGTTAAAGCGTGCCTAGTTTTTGTTACACAACACTTAATTTTTATAATCAGATGGAACGCCTTGCCCTCACTCCTGACCCCGAAATTTAGTCTCCCCTGTCCCTTAAAAACTTGTTCAAGTTTGATCGGCACGAGGATTAATAAAGTAAAAACTGTGATGTTTGTACAGAGGAGAAAGAATTAGCTGGAGCCACAAATTCTTTACTTAAAAGGGAAAGTTGCAAAGTTAGTGGGACAACCAAAAAAGGAAAGTTGCAAAGTTTTAAGGAACGGAGTATTATTACTTATGACAAAAATTGTGCCCCTTATCTAGATAAAAAAACTATTAGATGTTGGGGTAATTTCGTTGAACAACATATAACAATTGTAGTGAGAAATGTAAATAATCACGAAATTGTGATGTAGTGATTTCTTACGGTTAGACATATTGTGGTATTGTCACTACTTTTTTTTAAAGTGGCATTCATGATTTTTTTTGCCAAGTATAGATAGTTTATGTCCAAAGTTAAAGGTCAAAGATATGACAAGACTTCTAATATAAAATCAAATTGTTAAATAAAGTTATATTGAAGGATGAAGTAACAAACATGAATTATACTTTATCTTTAACATGGTTGTATTCTATTTCAAAAAAGTACCAACAAATTTTATGGCACAATGTGTAACATTCGACATGATCCTAGTTTAGAATTGAAATCCTGAGCATTACATAGTATGAAAAATATGGGCAATTGTAATGCAAAATCAGGGCAGTGTAAAAATGATTCATCTCTAATTCAAAATTATGTCTTTCTTTCAAAAAGCAAAATATGATTGTTTATAATTGTTATAATGGGTTCAAAACTAGACCTATAATCTATAGATGTTCATCGCTTGAAATCAGCATTGAATAATCTATTTTCGGTTAAAAATAATTATCTGAACAGACTAAACTGAATAGACAGTGATATGGCCGATCCGACCCATTCTCATCCATGTGGCAGTGCCCCCACTGCATGGCGCACCGGTCACGGTGTTGCTGTGTGACCGAGAGGTTGCGAGTTCAAGTCTTGAGAGTGGTCTCTTGTCAATATGCACCCTTTTGATGAAAACTTTTCGCGGACTGTCGCATGACGGGGATGTCAATGTGCAATTGTGCATTGGGTTGCCTAAAAAGCAAAAAAAAAAACTTAATTTTTAATCAGTAAAAGACCTTGGTATAGCTGTATTTGATTGCATGAGGCAGATAATGGGATTTAAGACGGCCTTGATACAGATGTATTAGTCTGGAATCTGGATGAGGCAGACAATGGGGATTTAAGCTTTAATTAAAGTGATTCTCAATCACATGAAAGGTCTATAACTTGCAAGAATCTATTTTCGCCGTACTGTTGTTTAGCTCTCCGTCAAATGTCAATCTATATTTTCGAGCAATGAATATTATATGGTCCATGCATTTGCATAACCATCCTTGCGGTGCCATCTGTAGATATTAAATGATGGAAGTATGTTAGTAAGTGGCAAAATAGATACCCTACTCATATTTCTTTCTACTCCTATTTCTTTCACAGTTATAGTACTACAATGTGGTTGCCATAATTTCCTGTCATCACGAAAAAGTGATGATATTCAGAGATGCATTGAATTTCAGTTGTGCAATTTTGGTTGTAATTCCTTTATGGGAAACTCATTGCATTTAAGATCCATTTTCTTGTCATTTTTGTATCCTGAACTGTGTTGTGTATGATGATGAAATAGCTGTTTGTGTCTTTACTATTGTGTTTTGGTCATTTTTTCTAGTTAAATTTTAAGTTTTTTAATACGTAGTAATACTTGAAGTAATATTTTTCATAATTTAAAAGTCGTTCAATCTGCAGGGATCTGGTGATAGCCAATTTAAGAAGAGGCCCCCACAAGCTATATCCTTGACCTTATACATGGGAAAGATATTGCTTGCATTTATATTTATATTTTTGTTAGGTGCAATGTTCACATTGATTTTGGAAAGCCTTCCAAAGCTCGTCGAGTATCACGAACGAAATAAAGAAACCAAGTGAAAAAAATTCTTTCCTTCACGTGTTAATGCATTTCACAAACAAATCCTGCTGTAAGAATGTATCAAGAATTATTTTATTACTCTTTATTAGGTTCAAATAAGCTATCTCATGAAGTGTCCCCAGAACATCTGATTATCTGAATTCTTGCAAAGAAACGATGTGTTGGAATCAATGTTCTAAAAGAAGTGAGATTGCTAGTCAGCCCGACGCCTAGAGATTAGGCGCCTAGATGGAAACTGGTCGGAGACATATAAATTATATTTTTATCAATGTTCTTGCATAAATATGATTAGTAATTTTGTGTTTGTGTGTGTAAAATTACACTCATTAATGTTCATGAATGATAGTGTTGTCACGTTTGTTAATAAAGAAATTATCCCAAATTAGTGATGGCCTCGGTTCGGGCCGCCCGGCCCGGGACCGGCCCGACCCGCTACTGTGCGGGCCCGGCCCGGCCCGGTTTTCCGGGTCCGGGTCCGGTTCGGGCCGGAGGCCCGGGGTTGGGGCGGTTCCGGGCTCGGTTCATGGTTTTGACGGCCCGGCCCGGCCGGTTCGGGCCCGGGCCCGGGCCAAATCTATTTTTCTTTTATATTTTTTTCATTTTTTTTTGGGCTGTTGGGCTTGGGCTAGTTGTTTAGGCCGGTTTGGGGGGGTTTGGGGGGGTGGGGGGGTGGGGGGGAGAAAGGAAAAAAAAAAAATTAAACCGGGTGGCCCGACCGGCCCGGTCCGGCCCGGAACCGGACCCGGGACCGCCCTACCCCGGTTCGGGCTCGGGCCTGCTATTACTGAACCGAGGCCCGGCCGGGCCTAGGCCCGAGGCCCGAACCGGCCCGGTTCAGTCCACCCTATCCCAAATGGGACTAAAACATGGTTAAAACTCCAAAATAGGACTTGAAGTTTTAAATTGCTTAAATGGGACTCCAAATTACAATTTTGCCCTTCTACAATTAAAACCCCCATCTCCTGCAATTCATTGAAACCCTCCCCTGCAGTGCATCGATCCTCCTTCTCCAATTCATCGATCCCCCCTTCTGTAATTCATCGATCCCTTTACCAATTTTGCAATTCATCGATCGTTCTCCCCTTCCGCACATCCCTTCCTCCCATGGAAAGCAGCTTCGCCATCGGCTATTGCCACGCACCGCAGCTCCGTCATCGACCATAGGCCTCCTCCTCCTCCTCTCCCCCCCTCCCCCCCCCTCCCCCCCTCCCCCTCCCCCCTCCCCCTCCCCCCTCCTCCTCCTCCTCCTCCTCCTCCTCTGTTGGCTATTTGATGAAAAAAATGCCACGTTTGTGGCATTACATTTACTTCTTTGAAACTGTCATGAAAGTGATTGTACAAACCTCCATGAGGAATGCCACTTGATATGCGAGAATGTCACTTAATATGCATAATGACACAATAATGACAATTTCGTATAGAAATATGACATTCTCAATATGGCATTTTCAAATATTGTAATGACATAAAAGTGACATTTTTTTAAAATACCCAATGATTATGACATTCTCTCTTTCAAAAGTGACATTTTCTGGAAACATTTGTCAAGGCATTTTGAGAATCAGAGTAATCAAAATTGATAACAAGAAATTCAAGTTTAGATATAACTTCATTTGAAACTTTCAAATTAAAAAAATTAGAAAAAATCTGATTGATAAAATAAAAAAAAGCAGAGAACTAGGAAGAAGAAGAAGAAGAAGAAGAAGAAGAAGAAGAAGAAGAAGAACAAGAAGAAGAGATTACCTACCCGGTCGCCGATGAGTCATGAGTGCAGGGCTGGTAGCCGATGATACAGGGCTACGACACATGGCGCTGAGGTGCTCTGGAGGTATCGATGGAGGTATCGCCGGTGTGCATCACTGCTTTTTAACTAAGGGTAGTTTTGTCAGATTACCTTTTTTTAGTCCCATTTTTGTTAAATAAAACATAGTAGTCCTAGTTTTGCAATTCTACCTTGTTTTAGTCCTATTTAGGTAAATCTCTCTTGTTAATACTGAAGTATATTATACTTACTCAATTAGCTTCATTATGTGATAGATATTAATAATTATAAAACATTCAAGATTATATACATGTTGGGATAATGGCCCAAGTTGAGGTTCGGCCCATTTACCCTTTCTTCCGGACGTACGTCCATGTTGAACACAGCTAGCTTGGCAAGCCCACGTTCTTCCAGGAGGGACGAACGTCTGTAGTTGGGATTTAAAGCTCAACAGCCCATCTCGACGAACATCTATGCAGGGACAAGGAGCAGGACCACGGGTCACCGGAATGTCGACGAACGTCGTCATAGCAAGCCCCTAGCCTTCGGAGGCAGTCCAGTCCGCATGGCGAGAATCCACAAAGGCCAGGGGACGAACGGCCAATACCCCTTGGAGGCCACCTGGAGCAATCCAGCTCGCTCCCCAGGCGGACGAACGTCCCCACTAGTTAGGCGGGAAATCTAGATTCTGGCGGGAAGTGCATTTAATGCTGAAGATTTGGTGGTTGAGACACCAGCGAACCACAGGCTTCCACGTCAGTATAGCCACCTGCCCACTGGTAGGTATAAATAGAAGCATTTATTTCATTGTAAATGGTTGACAACTTTCTATTCTTAGCACTCTAGCTATAACATTCTTACTCGCAGCACTTCTACTGCCTTGTAAGACGAACGGCCGACGAGCCTCAGTGAGAAGTATTGTATTAGGAAGTTATTAAGAGATAATAATACCTAATCCTTTACTTGCTGCTTACTGTTCTCCTTGATCCATATCACTTGCTTGTTGGGCTAGATATTCATACACACTCCACTCGAAATCCTTGGGCTTACGTGTTGGACCCGAGGGTTGAAGGAATAAACCTCAACAATACAATTAGTAGTTTTTTTCTAAGATAATATCTCTCTTAGAAAACTAAAAAAAAAACAAAACAAAAAAATTTGGTGAATCTAGACGCCTTAGGTGGTCGGTTAGCACTCTAGTCAACCTACAAGGCAGCTGACTAATTCAATTAGGCGCCAAATCGAGGCGTCCGACAATCGTCTAACGCCTAAGCGGTGACTAGTCAGGTGCCTAGAAGGATTACTTCGTAATTATTTTTATTTTTAGACATTTGGTCGGTGTAGAACACTTTTGGCAATTCAGTGACTATTTCAATAGTTATGTCAACATTCTAAGTCATTATCACAAATCACAAAATTCCCAATAGTGGGAGAGAATAAACTAAAAATTCAAAGTTGTGCCACAAGACTCGAGATGTATCTCGCGGTAGTGTTATACTCTAATGTAAACACTATCTTTCTTTTAAAGGGTAAACTCATACCATTTTCCACCTTTCTATTTGAAATATTTTTGTTGTACACAAAATTAGAAAACAAATTGTAATTAGTTGTCGTCTGTACACACATACAATTCATTTGAAAAGGACAGAATTTTATACCAATAGAGAGAATTGATTTCCCTAATCGCATCATGTTATCTTTCACGAGATCAGTCTCACATAGTGGCATTCATGTAATTTTCAATGCTAATTTTTTAGGCTCTCACAATTATGTTCAAAATCTAAAGTATTCTAAGATTTCATTCTTGGAATATATATTTGAAAGTCGTAATATAACCAGTGGCGGAGCCACTATTGTTCAAAGGGGTTCATATGAACAACCAATTTTTTAAAAAACATGTAGGTATGTAGGTGTAATTTAATATAATTATCTATGGTTCTTTAAATTTGTAGTTATAAAAATAACATTGAATACCCGAAATTAGAATCCCAGATCCGCCACTGATATAGATGCATTTTAGTTTCCATAGAAAAATCAATACATATTATGCAAATACTTTTTTATATACTCGGTAAAAAACATGATAAGCAAAATGGGAATTGGATTCTCTGCCTTAAGTCAGAGTGCCTTACTGCAATCGAGGGCAGAGATTTAATTCATGGCCTTGAGATATGTGAACAAAGTGGACCCCTTCATCTACAACTTTTAATTTTTTCATCTAAGGGTTGAAAATGGCTAGACACCCTCCTTGCCTGCCAAAGGCAGAGGCCCCTGATCCAGCAAAATGAGAAGAATTTTACATCCTCGAGAATCGCACTGGTTGGCCGGTTTCATTGTAGTGAGGTTCCATACGTATGATGCACATACATTAGCATTTAAATGGTAAAAGAACTTAGACAAAATATAAAAATGATTCTTCCTGTGCATCACAGGATACAATACTAGTTGCATTGATAAAAATCAGGGAAAATCTACATTTAGGCTATAGTGCTTTGAAGCACAGGAGGCCAAGACAACTTAACTTTTTTTCAATTGTTTTAGGGGCTAAAGGGTCAAATAGGCACCTGAACTGACTTAAAGTATTCAATTAGCCCCTCATGTAGGAGGTTCTGCCCGGCCGTCGCCAATTGGGGCGATTCTCGGTGGAATTTTTTGATGAAAATTTTTAAGCATGTTATTCATTAAGTCTAGTTTACTCATACCAAATTTCAGCTAAAAATTCAACCGAGAAGGCAGTCAAATGATTTTTTGAAGATACCTGCGAAGTTAAACAGCGCAGTACATTTCGGAAAATCATTTGACTGCCTTCCCGGTTGAGTTTTTAGCTGAAATTTGGTATGGGTAAACTAGACTTAATGAAGAAGATGCTCAAAAAATTTTATCAAAAAATTCCACCGGGAACCACCCCAATTAGCGACGGCTGGACAAAACAAATTTGGTATGGGTAAACTAGGCTAATTGATCATCAATTCAAGGGTCTATTTGACCCTTCAGGCTGCCCACAACCCTGGGGTGAAAAAGCCTTTTTTGAGCTTTTCACCCCTAAAACATCCGCAAACCACAGTATAAGGAGATGCCAAAGTGGATAGGTAGAACCATTGGGGTGGGTATCTGTAGGATTTTTCACGGAGAGATAAAGCTCGAACGGTGCATGAAATGATGATTGTTTGGTGGGGTCAATTAAATTTTAAAAACTCATTTTTGTTTAAACTTTTATAATTTTTTTTATTTGAATTCCATTTTTTATAAAAAATATATCAAAATTCATAACTTTTTACGATCTTTCATATGACACCAATATAGCATATATAAAGTTTTAAAAAATATATTGAGTTTTTTAAATCTCAAAATTTTGAGATCCAACATTTTTCTGAAATAGATTCAAATAAGATCTCATTGTTAAAATATTTCTTTTTATACCTTTCAATTTTTTTTATAAAAATAGATCTGAATTAACAAGAAAAAATAAACTCCTAGTTTATTAATTTTTAAATCAGAATATTTGACTTTTAAAATCTATATTTTTCGCAACAAAAAATTTGAAAAAATAATGAGATATAATAGTAAAAGTAACACTTTAATAATAAATAAAGCTTTGCTGAGTGAATATATTGACGGT